CTTTCTAATAAAACAGAAGCCTCAAAAACATGACGTGGTCCCAATATTCATAATATGTGACAATTTATTTAAAAAAAATCTTGTTGAAATTGCTCTTGATTATTTAGATACCTGAAATATTGGGAAATAAACCTACTTCTACTGTTTTTATAAACCATAGAAATTGTTTTCTGACTATTTTCTGTTTTAATTCTCTTCCTCTAACATAACAAGCTATACCAGCTCTGCTCCTACCTATGTGATAACAAAGACGCCTTTTGCCTTAATCAAAGGGACCACTCTTCAGTCTAAGCTTGAGTGACAGATTCAATTGGATTTTTGAGGTGTATAACAACCAGGAAGAATCTATCTCACTCAGCAGCAAGCTTTCTGTGTGCTTGTCATTATTCCTGCTGCACAAGAATTACCAGGGAAAACAGTGCTTGTGAGGAAAACCACATATAACCTAAGAGAGGTTCAACAGATGGAAATGGAGATCCTGGTCTGTCCCTTACATCACTGAAAGCAATTTTACAGGCATCCAAATCTCTCTGGAAATCTCCATTTTCTGGGACCCTGTAGAGTATTTTGCCTCCTACTTTGCTGGAATGGAGCTGTATAATGTATTGTCCTCAGCATCTCAGACATTATATTAGTCTGCCCTGGCTGCCATAACAGATACCATAGACTGGTGGTTTAAATGACAGAAATTTATTTTTTCACAGTTCTGGAGGCTGGAAGCCTGAGTTCAAGGTGTGAGCAGGGTTGGTTTCTTCAGAGGCCTCTCCCCTTGGTCTGCAGATGGCTGCAACCCTCTGTCTTCAAGTGGTCTTCCCTCTGTGTCTATGTCCTAATCGCCTCTTCTTTGAAGAACATCAGTCATGCTGGTTTAGACCCCACCCTAATGATCTCATCTTAACTTAGTTACCTCTTTAAAGACCCCATCTCCAAACACGCTCTCCCCTAACCCCCGGTACCTCTCATTATGAATTTTGGGTAGTGACATCAGCAAAATGGACAAATAAGATGTCTCTTGTCATGTCCCTGCTCAACAACAACAATTTGGCATCTATCCAGGGAAAATGTGCCTTTGTGGGAGCTGAGGGATCCAGGGGGATATTGGAAACGCTGGTGCAGTCCAAGAACAAGGAGACACTTTTGGAGAAGACGGGCCTGCACTGGGTGGCGTGGACTCACCACCGTAGGCCCGGCTGTAGACCCCGAAACAGCCCCACACCCTGAGGATCTGGTCACAGACCTTTGGGTTTTGGCTCTGTCACCAGCACTGTACACCATACATAAGGAACCCAGGAGGAGTCTTTCCCACTATGGGTCAGGTAACAGTCACACAGACCTCAACCGCCACGGACCCTGCTTCGGCCCTTGGACTGGCTCTGGCCCTCTGGGCCATCGTCCAGAAGCCCCTGGAAAACACTGATTTAGACAATCACCCATGGACCAGAGAGCCTTTGTGAGAGTCCAGGAGTCCCGCAGAGAAGTTCCAGCACACCATTGGAGCAAAAACATTCTGAGACTGAGGGCCCTGGAGAGAGTAAGAGGGATGGTTTGACTTCACCACGTCTCCCCTCCCCCAAGGCACACAGCTCAGTGCCCAGAGGGCCCTTCTCCTACTCGACTTCTCCTGGGGGAGGTGAGAGTGAGTGACACTGCTTCCCCAGCTGTGGGGGTGCAGCCGGAGGCCCATTTCTCTCTCTCTCCACCCAGAGGGCTGAGTCCTGAGCTGCAGGTCTAGGGGCCCATGAGTGCCTGGAGAACAGCAGGCACACTCCAAACAGAACATCTCTAAAGGATGTGCATCCTACTAACCCATCATGGACTCCATCCAAAGGCCAGCCCACAGGCCCCTGGGGACACCTGGCCTGCATGTCCCCCAACTGGCCCAGTTGTAGGATAACTACATTCTGAGGATCTAAGGTACAACCTGGTGACGATAGTTAGCAATACTGGGTTGTATGCTGGAAAGTTGCTAAGGGAGTAAATCTGAAATGGACTCGCCACAAAAAAATGTAATCGTGTGTGAGGTGATAAAGGTGTTAACTAACCCTACTGTGGTAATCATCTCACGAGATGCATGTGTATCAAATCAACACATCATACACCTTAGACTTACACAGTGTTATATGTCAGCCATATCTCAGTAAAGCTGAAAAAAGTAAAAAAAAAAGAAAGAAAAGGACCTTGTAAACTAAAACAAAAAAGAATTTTGGGGGACAATTCAGTCCATAATAAGCCCCTATAAGTTTCTATCTCCACTCAAGATCCTGTAACATCAGTCTTTATTCTTCTTGCCTTAACGTGCTTCCTTCTCCAGTCCCGTCTCTTCTTCCGTTTCGTGCCTGCGTCTCTTTCTTTGGCTTCAGGTCACTGTAGGTCTAAAATCTTACAATGCTCTCAAAGTCTAAGTTTCCAGTGGAAAAATGAAATTACATGAAAAATGAAACATGACCAACAAAGTGTAAGGAGGTAGGGTCCAAACACAACACCACACACGAGTATGTGAGCACACGAGCACTCACGGAAGTACTTTCCATGTTTGTACACACACACATAGGTTTCTTCACTTGTTTGGGCTGACACAATTTCTGACACGCACTGTGTGAGGCTGATGTTAATTAGATACACCTTAGTTGGATTTGGCGACACTAACACCATGTGACCATATTCTCGTCTAATTCTGAAATTACCCACGTACAAAATTCAATTCATCTTCTGGACCATCCTGCAGTTCTTTCACAAGTATTACTATTTAACTCTTGTTTTCTCGCTTGGGACTGAAATATTAAGCATAGTCTTTGAGACTGAAGCAGACTAGCCCCGCCTAAACAGCCCATGAAGTTGTGCTTTGAATTTTGATGCTTTTATTAAATCTTTTTCCGTATCTTGCTCTTGAGAATATTACTTTAATTTGCTAATATGCGGTTAGAATAAGTGGCCTGTAATGTTGACTTAAAGAAATACAGTGGTCCATTTGAGAACGTCTGTGCAGACAAGGTATGGAGAGATGGTGGGTGTGGTCCCTGGGTGGTTCTTCAAAACATACATTCTGAGAAGTTTCTCTTCAAAACGAGAAGTTTTCTGTCACATGGACTTGACCATTTCCAGTTCAGACATTTGGAAAGAATAAATCTTGCCCTGAAGAAGATGACTCCTAGATTTTCTTTTATGGTTGGCAGTATTTTAATTTCCTAGACTTTTTCTTTTTCTTTTATGACCTAAACCTCAAAACCATCCATCCTAAACTAATTTCATGTGATAGATAAGAACAGCTGCAGGCATTCCAGTCTAATCTGTACAGGATACAAAAATCACAGATTTTTTTCCTCTTTGATTCACAAAGAAAATGTGCCCAGTTATTCTCATAATGAGACATATGACGTGCATTTCAGTCTGCTTATGTGAGTAAAGTGGATTCTTAACTACTGAAAACAGGCAACTTAACTATAAGAGCCACATCATCTGTCCCACCTCCCTTCCTCCTGCTGTCCCAAGAAAAATGACAGCCACGACTGTCCGCGTTGCCGTGGAAAACAAATCTCACCGCCTCAGGAGCAGGATAAGTCTTCCAGCTTCATGAAACACCCAACATCATTCAATCTTTAGATCAAGTTACAACAAAATTTGTTAACACCTGGTGGAAGATTTCAGTCGTCTCTACCCCAGTCTCTTGTCTCACCTAAAGATCCCGGGAATTTCAGGAAGCCTGCCAACTGCTAACATTTCCTGCTCAGCATTTACTGCCTGGCTGCTCTAGGACTGTGCTCAGAGTGCTCTTTCCTGAGCATGTTATGAGGAGCAGGGCTACAATTCCATGATTTTGGCATTTCACAAAGCAATGCAGTTTCTTCCACCCAAGACTCCGCTTTTGTATTTACATCAAGCCTGGGGTCCTGAAAGTTTGGTACCCGAAATAACTCCACAAGATTTTGTGAGCAGAGACCTAAGGTAACATTAAAATGTATTTTATAGAAATACATAAATGAAATATATTACAGCATTACAGCAGTGTTTCACTGTGAAAGATCTTTTCTTTTAGGGTCTTTTAGATTTTTCCTAAAAGTCTTCAAATAAGTTTCTAAATGTTTTATAACAAGGTCCTTATGGACGCATATACATGAATTGGAAATTATCAGAAACCTCTGTTCCAGACGTGCTTTCATTTAATTCTCCATGTGCGTTCTACTTTCCCCACGTTCTGGACTTCTTCCATGTTGGTGGTTGGAAGCCACTTTCAAAGCCTCTGACAGTCTGTGTAGGTCTTCAGCTATTGTTGGAAAGCAAGTTCATGCATAGGCTGACATTCTCCTTAGCCAGGGTGTACTGGAATACTGTGGTCCACAGGTGTGGAAACAGAGGAAGTAATCCATCCAAACCCACGGGAGCTGATGTACAAACAGTCGCATAAGCCGATCGCCTAGTTACAGATTTAGTCAGTGGTGTTTCCCCAGAGTAATGTGAATATTTGTAATCACTATCCAGAGAAAGCTTCCCCAATATCAGGTTATCAGGGAATCAAGCTAATACTTGGAAGGTTGCCTGGCCAGCACAGTATTAGAGTAAAGTCTGAATAGTCTGAAGCTGTGCTCAGGCGATGATGTCTACTGAGGGACAGCCCAGCCTTCCAGCTAATATTCACCCACAGTGACCAGCGGTCAGTTTCTGTAGATGAAGTTCTCTGAGACAACGCAGGCACATGGTCGAATCCCAGCTCCGCTTCTCTCTCTTCCAGGCTCTGTGGGGTTTTGTAAACACTTATTTTCTAGGCCAATTAAAATACATTTGTCTCTGTTTGAGTTAGTGCCCCCACTCATGGGGGTTATGTGCAGGTGGGATGGTAACAACTCACCTCAGATGGCTGTCCCTGGGCTACCTCCCCACTTTTTGATAGACTGACTATTCCTTAGGCACGCTATGGATTTAACTGTTGGCAGAAAAATATGATTTGCAGTAAGCTGTTGGAAACTTTTAAATTTGCCAAAAATAACCTCATTCTTTCTTTCTAGGTTGTAAAAATGATGATAATCGTCGTGGTGACGTTCGCTGTCTGCTGGCTGCCCTATCACGTTTACTTCGTCCTCACGGCCATCTACCGACAGCTGAATCGGTGGAAATACATCCAGCAGGTCTACCTGGCCAGCTTCTGGCTGGCGATGAGCTCGACCATGTACAACCCCATCATTTACTGCTGCCTGAATAAGAGGTACAGACACAATCACCACACCCGAATTTCTGAAGCAGATAACGCTGCTCCAGCTTCTTGGTGCTAATTTAAAATGCAAAAGGAAGGGAAAGTTGAAAAATTCACTGAGAAAAGACAGAGCTTGATATTTTTCTAGACTCCCCCCTACCTGATGAAATATCTCACCTTAACGATTACATCATCAATACAACATTCTTAGAGGTTCCAACTGGGCAGTTCTTATATGGGCCAAATTCTCCTTCGAAGCCCTTCAGAATTTTATCTGCCAAAGAAAGGAAATGCCCTTATGACCAAAGGAGATATGTTGAAAATGAACCCCAGTCCTCAAAGAAATGAAAATGCGTCATAGAAATGCACAAATAATTTCTATAAGATGGAGAGATGATGGCATGAGTGAGAGGGCTCTTTTTTTTAAAAAAAAAAAAAATCATGTCTCATAAATAGACTTTGAAATAGAAGATATTGCTGTGAGGATGATGGGGGAATCCCAATCCTCCTTCTTGAGCAATGAGGTCAGTGAGTGAGAGGTGTAGCCTCCAGTGGGATGGGGGGTGAAGAAACCGAGGTGGTCGGAGGAAAGCTATTTCTAATTTGAATGTAAAATAAAAGTAGGAGTATTCAGGGGGCTGGCCCTGTTGGCACAGTGGTTAAGTGCTCACGCTCTGCTTCAGCAGCCCGACGGTTGGCAGGTTCAGATCCCGGGTGCCCACTGACGCACTGCTTGTCAAGCCATGCTGTGGCAGCGTCCCATATAAAGTCGAGGAAGATGGGCATAGATGTTAGCCAATCTTCCTCAGCAAAAAGAGGAGGATTGGCATCGGATGTTAGCTCAGGGCTGGTCTTCCTCAGCAAAAAGAAAAAAAAAAATAGGAGTATTCACACTCAAATTTAAGACCGGGGAAAAGGTGAAATGTGATTCCTGGATAAAAACACCTGACTTGTAAGGCCAGCACGTGGAGGGTGGGGTGAAGCTTCAGGGTTGATAGTTCCCGTAATAGACCAATGTGTTTTGAGCTGCTTTGAGAACAAGGAGAAAGGGGACCTCATGTAAGTAGCTGCCTGAGCTGGATCCTAAGCTGCTGTCCACCACGCTGCGCCGTGAGTTTGTTCAGTAGTTAATTCTCACCTTTCCCGTTAGTTTCATAAGCCACGTATCAATTCAAGTGACCCCACAGCAGCATATCTGTTTCCAGTCAGCTTCATGTAATGGTTTACAAGGCCAAGGATTTTGCACTTTCATATACGATTAAATGAAAACTGTCAAGATTAGCAATTAATTCTATTAAATGAGACTTTAATTTATAAATGTGTAATTATTTCTGAAAGAAGCTATTTTGAAATACGTCATTTTTAAGTGCCTTAACCAGCAAGCCTAATTCAACTACACTTGTGCAAATGTGTAAAATTATAAAAGAAATGTGCACTGTTTCTGTGGCATATTGACCACCTGGTGCTGGGCTTTTACTATTTGACAACTAGCTTCTTCTTGGGAAATTAAGATGCAATTCAAACAAGAAAAACTTAAAACACTACAAGCAATACTGTGGTATAAATTCTAAGATTTGACTCCCAGTTATAAAATAAGCCTGTCCTGGGGACGTAATGTACAGCATGGGGACTATAGTTATCACTACTGTATTGTATATTTGAAAGTTGCTAAGAGAGTAGATCTTAAAAGTTCTCATCACAAGAAAAACATGTGTTAACTGTGTGGTGACAGATGTTAACTAGACTTATCGTGATCATTTCACAGTGTATACAAATAAGGAATCCTTATGATGTACAGTTGAAACTAATACACTATGTCAATTATACCTCAAAAAAAAATTCTAAAAGTTTTACTGGAAAGTTAAATTAAAAAACTGAGTTTCCGTGGGGCCAGCCGGGTGGCATAGTGGTTAAGTGCGCTCACTCTGCTTCGGCGGCCCGAGGGTTTGCAGGTTCAGATCTACGGTGCGCACCGACACACCGCTCTTCAAGCCATGCTGTAGCAGCATCCCATATAAAGTAGAGGAAGATGGGCACGGAAGATGGGCACGGATGTTAGCCCAGGGCCAATCTTCCTCAGAGAAAAAGAGGAGGATTGGTGACGGAGGTTAGCTCAGGGTGACCTTCCTCACAAAAAAAAAAAAAAAAACTCTTGAGTTTCCTTAAGTAGGGCTTTCTGTGGCAGTTGAAGGAAATTTCCGCTTGAAAACACAACTTGTTCTTTCTGTGGCCTGCTTCTCCTCAGATTTCGAGCCGGTTTCAAGAGGGCATTTCGCTGGTGTCCCTTCATTGAAGTTTCCAGCTACGATGAGCTGGAGCTCAAGACCACCAGGTTCCACCCGACTCGGCAGAGCAGCCTGTACACAGTGACCAGGATGGAGTCCATGACGGTGGTGTTTGACCCCAATGACGCGGAAACCGCCAGCTCCAGTGGGAAGAAGAGGGCCACTCCAAGAGACCCAAGTGGAGGCTGCTCCTGCAGGAATTCCAAATCTGCCTTCACCGCTTCAAGTTTCATCAGCTCATCCCACACGTCTGTGGATGAGTAATCCTAACTCCAGTCCTGAGGAGGAGGAGGAGGAGCGTGAGGCCACCGCGGTGCCAGCCTAGGCCCTGTTCTCCTGACCGTTTGTCAGTCCGTCCTGCACACTCTGGAAACAAAATGATTTTAGGCAGCTACGCTTCAGTTGAGAAAGGCAGCATAGGAATGCGACAAACACACACTTAAGATATTTGCCCCCCTCAAAAAAAAGGGCTTTAAATTCATTCTTTGAAAACTCTAAATTATTATCTTCAACAAACTGAAAAATATATCTGAAAAATACTTGTAAAGTGTTCTCATTTAAAAATTGAATATACATTTGTGACACTAAAATGACATAAGATTTTTCCAAAAGATTAAAGAAGCTTTAAAATATAATATTGTGAATGAATATAAACAAAATCTATATAAAATAAAACATTTTCATCTGTAGCTATAAAATAGAAATAAATTAAATGACTCATTCTCCCACTAGAGTGATGGAAAATTAAACTCAAAAAGTAGGAATGAGTGAAAAGCTTTGCTCAAGAAAATTCATTTTGTAAAATGAAAATTTTTGAAGATTTAAAGATTTGCTACATCAAATGTAACTGAAAAGGAAATCTAGTCAAATTATGAGGCAGCCACCTACCTACCATTCTCTTTATTATTTTCTATGAGAAAAAGTTTTCAAAATAAAAACATAATCGTTTACTTTTTTGACCATCACATATTTTAAAGGGCCAAGCTAAGAGATGGTCAAAGTTAGGACCTTAAAAGGACAAAGAAAATTCCTACGATCCTCTTTATTTTTCACATATATTTAAAAAAAAAAGAAAGTAGATTATAAAACACTAAAGATGCCTTCTAAAGAAGAAGGGAAGAATCTCATTTGTCTCTGAAACCAATTTTTAGGCAAGAACCAAAGCTGGTAATTCATAGTTATGCAGGCAGACAGGAGCACAGGCAGCTCCAAAGGAAGACGTGTTCTCCAAAACCCAAGGGAAAAGTTTAGGGTGGACATCAATTTTATCAATTGCTCAGCATCCTTTTCCTCTCCCTCCATTGAAAAACGAGTAAGGACTAGGGGAAAATATCAGAAAATATATTCAAATGCAAATCCTTAGAGGAAAAAACTCATAAGTGTGGCAAAATCAAAAGTATACTAATATACAAACAGGTAAATCAGGCAAAATGTAGAAAGGTGTCGGCTGTTAGAAAAGAAAGCCAGACAACAGTCTGGACACTGAACCAATGCCGGGCAACACAAGTCTAATACACACCTTTCCACAGAGGGAGCTTTCCCTCTCTCTGCTTAGTCCACACGGAAGGCCCCCAGAAAGACACGGGTTAACCGTCCGCAAAAAGCACCTGTTTTGCCACAAGAAAAATGGACTGGCACATTTCTGAGAGCCGTGACAAACACGGTGCACCATTAAGTGCGGAATTTATCTCCAGACCTCAGTGCTTACAAATCGTCTCTCTTTGAATTAGAGATACGGTCAATCCTGCTCAAGAAAGCAGAAACCTTCTGAGAATGTGGATGCGTAGTGCAAACTTCTCCTTTAAAGTATTCAGTTACATTTTTAAAGCTATCCATCTAAAATAATTACCTGTAACACTTTACTGGATTGTGATGCCTCCATCAATATAGAACCAACTGTTTTTTGAAGAACAAGATAAAAGCAATTATTCAAGAGAAAATCATGTCTATTACTGCCATGACATTAAATTTTCCAATCATCCTCCCTAATTTGGACCTAAAGCCAAAAATATCTAGTTATTATAGTGTTTAAATTCTAAGCAACCCCACCATATGTGTTTGAGCAGAATTTCTTCTGAATACACCAATTAAACAGACACACACCATACACACACATATGATGTGCAGACACATACAATCATTTTAATGAATATCACAACTTCAAAGAATTAAGTTCAAAGCTGAATGCTGAAATAGTAAGTGTTCATTATAGAGTTGCCACAAACAGCTCAATAAACTCTACGAATCTTGTGTGCATGCTTTAGATAAGCAAATTTATTATTATTTAGTTATTTGATGTGTGTGAATATATTTTAAATGTTCATTCCAAAAAGTGTAAATGCTCCTTATGTAATGTAAAAGTGTCAAGAAAAAGTCTAATATTTTAAAGCAAGTATTATTTTCTTCTTAAATTTAGAATGATTATGGGACTAGCGTTAATTAATGTTCTAGATACATGGGGCCACATTCAGCTGTGGAATATTAATGTGGAGTTTGGCCCTCAGATTCAGTGTAGTCAGCCACCACCAAAATACATTTGAAAAACATAACTCTTGGCCTTCACACACGTTAGAGAAATTCAGTAAAATTTGCTAAGACATCTAAGGAAAAATATTGCTCCAATCAGCTGTTTTGTTTATTTTGCTTTTTTGTTAGTAGATTTGTTGTTGTTTTGCTTACCAAGTATCATTCCTTCTAGCATGAAGGAATACAACACCTGAGATCCAGATAGTATCTTTCTAAATACTTTTTATGGAAAATTGACTCTTTCACTCAATACTCTCGACTCTTAAATGAAGACTTACAAAGTAGAAATTTTTAAGCTCAAAAGTTTGAAAAATAATAATAAAGTAAATGAGGATAATATGAAAGAGATAAGATTTTAGCCTTTTTCTCTGAATTTTGACGCTGACAATTATAGAATAATACACATGGAGATCAGCTTCGGGAGGAGTCACGTTAAGTAAGGCTATGCCAGTATTTCCCTATTTGCCAGGGTTTGGAAGACTTTGCCTCCAAAATTCACTTTACTCTCTGATGTTAAAGTTCAGTGTGAATCTTTTTCATTGCTTGCAGGCAAACATTGGCTCAGAATACCAGGCAGATGGTTAAAACACCCTAGGTTTTTTTGGATTTAGATCAGTACAAGAAAAATACAAAATATTTTGAGAGAAATCTAAAAGACTCAAAAAGCCTTGCATTGTTTTAAATATTCTCTTTTTAAAAGAAAAAGAAACAAATAATAAACATTGTATTTTTATTTTTCATCTTGACAAAATGTTTTGCAATTACCTGCATGGGAAAGAATTAAAGTAAACATAGTTATTGTAGAATCCTATCTAACATCTTTCATTTTTCAGCAGCTCAGTCTACTGCTGCATTATTCCATCTCCCAACTTAATGACGGTGACATTTCTGACCCAGCAGCCAAACTCGTATTCTTTTCCAGATCCTACCAATCTCTTATAAACAGAGACCTGGCCACCTTCAGCATGACCTCCACACTCACAAAGCTCACAGAAGAATACCAAGGAGCTCAGAAGCACAGAACAAGTGTGAAAAATCAGTGCTGGCCAGCTCAAAATTTGAATTTGATTTTTGTTAATGAAGAATTTCATCCAGAAGCTTCTGATTAATGTCTGGTAAATTATTTCATCAAATACAAAGGCAGGCAAATTACAAAAGTTTCTCACACATTTTTTTTTTTAATATTTTTTTTTTGAGGAAGACTGGCCCTGTGCTAACATCTGTTGCCAATCTTCCTCTTTTTCTTTTTTCTCCCCAAAACCTTAGTACATAGCTGTGTATCATAGTTGTAGAGTTGTAGCTCTTCTATGTGGGATGCCACCTCAGCATGGCTTGATGAGCGGTGCATAGGTCCACGCCCAGGATCCCAACTAGGGAACCCCGGGGTGCCAAAGCAGAACACACGAACTTAACCATCATGCCACCAGGCCAGCCCCGGTTTCTCACACTTTTAACAGTAAGAATTTGAGCTCCCACTTGCTGGTTATGTGCCAAAAGTTAAGGAAATCAACATGACACTGCCATATGGAATAACAAGGTTGTAATAATTTCCCTTAGGGCCAAGCAGGAATGGGGAGTAGCGTTCAGTAGATCTGTACAAGGTCAGGAATTATGTGCTGTGAAATATCTCTGTGAAAATTCTGTGTGTATAAGAAAAAAATATACATAAAGTTTGTAGATAGTGAATAAAGTATTTTCAAGTTGTGGTAATTATACTGAATAGGTTTGTGGATTCATACTCTTTACATGTGTGGTAATATGTGACAGATTTGATTTCTCTTTTTTCTCCTTTAAAAACCTTAAAAATAGTATTAAAAATAAAAGCAGCCCTGATACTTTCCTACTGGCTAGCAAAGCATGTGCTATGGAGGGTCTCATCTTGTCTAAACACTCACCCAACTGTCCCTCAAAACTGTGTGTGCTTCCTTCCTTATTCTTCCTCATAAAAAATCTACTTTTCTAAGTTACCTTACTTCAGAAAAAGCATCTATGGGGAGCAAAGGCATCAAAATGTAGGAATGTATTCTGTGTAGAGGGCAGGAGTGGGGATTGGACTGTGGGGCCGGAAGTGCATGCAGTTGACTGCAGAGCACAGTGTTTAGAGCTATGGCGTCAGGCTGTCCCCACCACAGACCTGAGTCTGGATCTGAGCCCCATCAACTGCTGGCTGGGGGGCCTCAGGCAAATGAATCTCTGCACTGAGCCTCTGTTAACCCATCAGTAATGGAGAGAAAACAATAATTTCTTCAAAGGGCTGATGTGAGGATTGAATGAGCCAATTCATGAGTACGGGGGATCTCAACACTAAAACAATGTTCACAAACATCATTAGCATCATAGTGTGCACAGGGGGGAGTATCAGAAACCCTCTTCTGCCCTTATCATTCTGCCCCCATCCAAAGCTCCTTGAGGGCATGCGTAGCCGGATGGCCTCCTCTCTCTCAGCACTGGGCTGCTTTTGGAGGCCCCACAAGGTCTCATGGGTGTGTATGACTGTTCTGGGAATCTGCCCTGTGGCCCCGGGCCCTGAGGAGGAAGCCACACTCGAGAAGTGTTACAGAAAGCCAGTCAACAGAAGGGTGGCTCTGGGCATGTGACACTAAACTCTCCTCTTAGGAAAGACACAGTTAGGTGCTATGGCATTTTCACTTCAGGCTGAAGATTGAGAATGTAAACTTCAGAAGATAGTAGAGGAGGGGAGGAAGGCAGACATTTCTCTTTCCAGGTTTGCACAGCAGCATCACTGCTGCTCTCCGTGCCTCCCCTGCGCTCTGAGGAAGAGTGCTCAGGGATAATTCCATGGCAGGTGGCAGCAATGGCCCTCGCTGCCTATCCATTCAACCAGTTGCAAGGACATCGTCTCAGATCCAGTCCCTCAACCCCACTCAGACACAAGCCAAGCATCCCCTACCCTATCCCACCATCTCATCGTAAAGGGAGAAAGACAGAAAGAAGCAAGACATGTTCACCAGCCCACCACACATCTAAAGCATCAGGAAATCCTCTCAGCTCTTAAAATACACCCAAAGTTCTACTGATTCACACTCTGTCAATTTCTGCAAACCTGGTCTAAGCTACTGTCATCTCCTGCCTCGAATATTGCAATAGCCTCCACTACTCCCTCCCTAATGTCCACTCTTAATAAAGCAACCACAGTGATTCCGGTAAAACAGCATCACATCATCTCACTCCTCTGCTCAAAACCCTCTAAGGGCTTCCCATTTCAATCAGAACAAAGCCCAAATCCTTACCACGGTCTAGAAGGACCTTCATGATGTGTCACTTCTAACTTGTTCTGTTCTCTCCCATGCTCTGGGATCCATGGATCCATCCACACTGGCTTCTTTCCTGGTATGTGCCAAGCATGCTGCAACCTCAGGACTCTGGTACTGGTTACTTCTTTTGTCTAGAATATTGTCCGCCAAGACAGTTAGGTGACAAACTCCCTCTTTTTCTTCACACCTTTGCCCAGCGAGGCCAATCCTGATTACTTTGTTTAAAATCACAAATCCTCATCCACACCCCAAACTATTCTTCCCAATCCCCCATCCTGCTCTTTATTTTTTCACAGTATTTATCATTTTCCAGAATACCATATAATTTACTCATTCATTATATTTATTATCTATCCCCCTGAATTGGGAATGGGCTCATCAAATAAATGAATGAGTAAATGAGTTTTTATGTAAGCTATGGTGAGATTGAAGTTATTCATATATCCATAATTTTTCAATGTCAGATGGTATTTTCTGACTGTCTCTCTCCACCAAACTCCCTTTGTGTACTCTTCTCCATGATACCAGGGCTAAGACTTTATGAAATACACTCTCCATTCTTCCTTGTTGCCTGGCTTCCTGTTCAGTTCTGTAATGGAAGTCACTAGAGGGAAATCAGAATGTAGAAGGAAAGAAATTCTGGTCAGTGACATTCCAGCAGCAGCAAACAGCTGACACCTACCTCTAACTTCTTTCAATACCCCCAGGACTAGCTTTCCATGCATCTCCAAGATGACAGTAGCAACTGTACTGTGTCCCTTTGCAACCAGATTACGAACCACACTGCATTCCCTCACCCGGAGGCTGATGACACCTTCACAGAGGCCAAGTGCCAGCCCCCTGGGTCCCCCCTCTGAGTTCTCAGAGTCCAGCAACATCTTCTATTCCTTTCTTGTGTATCCCAGGACTCCATATAACTGATTCCTGCAAGTGTGACTCTCTGGGTTACTTCAACACCCTTTTTTGCTCTTTCAGACTTCTAACATCTATGGAACCAAAAATCTCTGCCTGAAATACCTAATGCGATTTACCTTTTCTTCACTAGACATCCTGACTGATACAGTACTTAATACCCAGAGTGGGCACAGGGGATTTTGGTTTAGTTTAATTACATCTTTAGTCCTGAACAGTCTCTGAACACCTAATCAATGGAAAATTGAGCACTAATAATCAATAGCATGTGGTGTCATCATAATTGGTTAAACTAGCACCTGTGGTTACTTGGGATAAAAGGCCTATTGAAGGAAAGACTTTGGGAAGTTGAATGGCAGCTGCACTTATCCATTGTGGGATCATTAATTACTGCAATGACTGGGGGGTAGTGGTATTCCTACTAACATCTACACTGGAAAACTTACAGAATGAAGATGACAAGCTTAAATTTCAACTTACTTTTATCACAAGTAATTATCAGAAGGCCACCAAGCTTACAAGATGGCCCTAAAATAATCTCTTATTTTAGGTAACCACAGAGCAGCTATGGCTAAAAATTATTCCTAAAACTTAGTTGTGTGGGTTGCCAAGTTACAACACAGGTTGTTGAAAAATTCAATAGAAGGTCTGGCAGTAGGTTTGAGTTGGCAGAAGAAAGAACTAGTGAACTTGAAGAGAGATCAATAGAGATTATGCAATCTAAAGAATGTAGAGACAAAAAAAACGTGAAGAAAAAGGAACAGTCACAGAGAAAGTGAGATACCATAAAGCACACCAACATACACATAATGCGAGCACCAGAAAGAGAGACAAGGGAAAAATAGGCTTGAAATATATATTTTTAAGACATAATGGCTAAAAACTTCCTGAAAAATAAATTAATTACAAATCACTGAACTCCAAATACTATAAACAAAAGGAAATCCACATCTAGATACCTCAAAGTCAAAATATTAAAAGCCAAAGGGAAAGAGAAAACTCCTGAAAACAAGAAATGACTCAATACAGAAAAATGTATTTCACACATATGGTAACGAAAAGAGACTTTAAGTCAAAATGGTTACAAGAGACAAAGGAAGACTTTATGTATTGATAAAAGGCTCAAATCATCAAGAAGATGTAACAATTATAAACATATAAGCACCTAATAACAGAGCCCCAAAATATATGAATTGAAAATTGACAGAAATGAAGGGAGCAATAAACAGTTCTACAACAATAGTTGGAAGCTTCAATACTCCACTTTCAATAATGGAGAGAACATCTAGACAGATAATCAATAAGAAAATAGAGAAATTGCAAAACACTATCAACCAACTAGGCCTAACATACGGATATAGAACCCTCCACCCCACAAGAGCAGAATATACATTCTTCTCAAGTGTACATAGAACATTCTCCAGTACAGGCCATTGTTATTCAACAAAATAAGTCTCGAAATTTAAAAGGATTGAAATCATACAAAATATCTTCTGCAACAACAATGGAATGAAGCTAGAAATCCATAAAAGAAAGAAAAGTGGAAATTCACAAATGTGGGAAAATTAAACAACCTATTCTTAAACAGTCAAGAGATCAAAGAAGAAATCACAGGGAAATTAGAACATACTTGAGATGAATGAAAACAAAAATGCATTCCAAAACTTATAGGAGGCAGTGAAGGTAGTGCTCAGAGGAAAACTTATAGCTTTAAATGCCTACATTAAAAAGAAGTATTTCAAATTAATTAGCCAACTTTACACACTGAGGAACTAGAAAAAGAAGAGCAAACTAAACCCAAAACTACCAAGAGGAAGAAAATAATAAAGATTAGAGGAGAGATAAATAAAATAGAGAATAGAAAACCAACAAAGAGAATCAACAAAACCAAAAGTTGATTCTTTGAAATGATCGACAAATTTCAAAACTTTTTTCTAGACCCCCCCGTCTAGATTGTCAAAGAAAAAAAGAAGGAAGTTGCAAATAACTCAAATCAGAAATGAAAGTAGGGATATTAATACTGACATTACAGAAATAAAAACAAATATGAGAATACTATGAACACACCAATACTATGTTGCACATCAACAAATTAGATACTCTAGTTTAAATGACAAATTTCTAGAAATACACAAATTACCTAAACTTATTCAAGAAGAAATAGAAAATCTCAACATACCTATAACAAGTAAAAAGATGGAACCAGTAAAAAAACCAAAAAAACCCACCCAACAAAGAAAAGACTAGGACCACATTGCTTTGCTGTTCAATTCTACCAAATATTTAAAGAAAGAATAAAAGAAATCCTTCTCAAACTCTTCCAAAAAATAGAAAAGGAAAGAATATTTCTTAGCTCATTCTATGAGGCCAGCATTAACCTGATACCAAAGCCAGATAAAGACATCCCAAGAAAACAAAATTATAGACCAATGTCATTATGAAAATAGATACAACAATCCCCAATAGAATTTAGCAAACTGAAGCCCACAGCATATTAACAAAGGAAGTGAAAACCTTGTACACTGAAACCTCCATACATTGCTGAAAGAAGTTAAAAGCAAACAAATACATAAGATATCCCATGTTCACGAGTTGGAAAACTTAATATTGTTAAGATGCCAATACTAACCAAAGGAATCTAGAGTCAATGCAATATCAAAATTATAAAAAGACTTTTTCACAGAAATGGAAAAGGGAATCCTCAAATCCACATGGAATTTTAGAGAACCCACACTGATGAAACAATCTTGAAAAAGAAAAATAAAGTTGGAGGGCTCCATTCACACTTCTCAATTTCAAAACTTAGTACAAATCTATAGTAATTGAAACAGTGTGGTACTGGCATAAGAATAGACATATTCTTGGATCGATGGAATAGAATTAAGAGTCTGGAAATAAACTCATACATCTATGACCAACTGATTTTTGACAAGAGTGCTAAGACTGTTCAATGGGGAAAGAATACTCTGTTTAACACATGGAGCAGGGAGAACTGAATTTCCACATGCGAAAGAATGAAGTTGAACCCTTACCTCACACCATATACAAAAATTAACTCAAAATGCATCGATACCCTAATATAAGCACTAAAATCATAAAGCTCTTAGAAGAAAATATAGAGGTAAATATTCATGACATTGGAATTAGCAATGGTTTCTTAATATGACACCAAATACATGAGCAACAAAGAAAAAACAGATAAAATAGACTTCAGCAAAATTAAAAACTTTTATGTGTCAAAGGACATTATTAAGAAAGTGAAAACCTACAGAATGGGAGAAAATATTTGCAAATCATATATCTGATAAGGGTTTAATATCCAGAATATATAAAGAACTCCTACAACTCAACAACAAAAAGACAAACAACCCAGTTTAAAAATAGACAAAGGGTTTGAATAGACATTTCATTGAAGAAGATACAAAAATGGCCAATAAGCACATGAAAAGATGTTCAGCATCATTAGTCATTAGGAAAATGCAAATCAAAACCACAATGAGATACCACTTCACATCCACTAGGATGGCAATAATCAAAAAGACAGACAATAGCACATTTTGTCAAGAATGTGGAGAAACTGAATGTGGACAGATTTAAAATGAATTGAGTGTAAAATGGTGCAGCTGCTGTGGAAAACAGTTTGGCAATTCCTCAAAATGTTAAACATAGATTAACCACAGCACCCAGCCATTCCACCTAGGTATCTACCCAAGAGGAATGCAAACATATGTCCATACAAAACTTGTACACAGATATTCACAGCAGCCTTATCCATAACAGCCAAATAGTGGAAACAACCCAAATGCCTATTGACTGATAAGTGAATAAATAAAACACAGTATTTCAATAAAACAATATATTTGGCAATTTATAAAAAGAAATGAAGTACTGATTTGCGCTACAAACATAGATGAATCTCAAAATCATCACGCTAAGTGACAAAGGCCAGTCACAAAAGACCACCTATTGTATGATTCCGGTTATGTGAAATGAACAGAATAGATAAATCTACAGAGAAAGAAAGTAGATTTTCTGTTACCTGGCTGTCTAGTGCTGGAGGGGAGAGGAAGGAGTAGGAACGGGTAGTGACTGCTATTGGGGACAAGGTTTCTTTTGGGGATGATAAGAATGTTATAAAATTATTGTGTTGGCTACACAACTTTGTAAGTATACTAAAATCCATTGAACTGTACACTTTAAACAGATGTAAATTATACATCAAGAAAATCTTTAAAAAAGAATAGCGATTTCACGGAGCAAAAGTCTAATGGGAATATCAATAACCTATATCATTAAAAGAGCCCTAAGAAAAAAACCAACAAATCAGCACGCAAACGGTTGGTTGAACAGACTTTAATAAGGAACTTACAAAACAGTAGAAGGATCGGTTCCTCTTTTACAAATGCTACTGACTTTCTTTATAATGTTTGCCCTTATGGTGGACATAATGCTGTGTGATACTGTGATTTATAATAAGAAATATATATCTATTCTTTGTCCCCGTTCCTGGCTCATAGCTCCTAAAACTCTTGGAATTTCCTGTCATGAGAGAAATAGAGGTGTCTTTTGTTAATGGTGTGATTTCAGAAAGCCCCTAGGTCTCCTAAGAATGGGGGCTGGTTGCCAGGAGAACCAACCATGTGATTAGAGGGCTGGCACTTTCGGTCCCACCCCCCACCTCTGTGGAGGGGAGAAGGGCTAGAGAGTGAATCAATCACCAATGGCCAATGATTTAACCAATTATACCTAAGTAATGAAGTTTCCATAAAAATCCAGAAGGACAGGGTTCAGGGAGCTTCCAGGTTGGTGAACACGTGAAGATTTGGGGAGAGTGTTGCACTCAGAGAGGGCGTGCAAGCTCTGCGCTCTTTCCCCACACCCTGCCCTATGCATCTCTTCCATCTGGCCGTTCCTGAATTATATCCTTTTATGATAAACCAGTTATCTAGTAAGTAACATGCTTCTCTGAGTTCTTTGAGCTGCTCTAGCAAATTAATCCAACCAGAGGAGGAGGTCGTGGAAACCTCTGATTAATAGCCAGTCGGCCAGAGGTCAGAATTACGGATAACAAGCTGGATTTGCAATTGGCACCTGAAGTGGAGGGAGGTCTTCTAGGACTGAGCCCTTTACTTGTGGATGCTATCTCCAGATAGATAGTTTCAGAATTGAGTTGAACTGAGTTGAGTTCTCAGACACCCTGTTGGTCTGAGAATTTCTTGGTGTTTTACAGGAAGCCCCTACTCTACACACACACATCACAATTGGGTCCAGGAACCCAAGGGACCCTGAAACTGAACATAAGAATTTCCCTCAGAAAATCCTAGCCCACAATAGGTAGAATTTACCCCAGACTCAGAAGCATGTTGAAATATGATTCCAATCATATAATAAAAAATCATCCACTGATTCTGTGCTTTTAGTTGCAAGCAATAAAAACTAACTCAGGCAAACTTAATGAAAAGGAATTTTATAAGACATATTAGGTAACTCATAACCTCTCTTTAAGAGCTGGAAGAATATAATGCAGTCACCGGCATTATATAAATTGACACCCAGAGCCCTTAAAGTAACCACACCACCACGAGGACTGCTGGGCACAGACGCTGCCACCGGCAAGACTTTCATCACCAAAACCAACACGCGGTGTTGCTGGCGCTGCCGCCGCCCGGCTCCTCCACCCGGGCTGTTGGAACTGTCCTGCTGCACCCTGCTGGAGCGGG